ATTATTAAAATGTTATTGAAATAAACTTAATATTCGTTTTTGTTATATAAATTATGTCGTTTCTTGAAATTAATTAATGTCTTTTAGTCAACATAAATTAAGGTCTCACAAGCCCAGCGACAGTAACTATGTTATAGATTTTGATATCAACTCTGGAGTTGATACTAATCTTCAAAACCACGACGGTCACCGCTTATTTTTTGAGGTAAATTTTAGTGCTCACCGTTTGGGCCAGGAGTTTCTTGCGTTTCTGAGAGCGTTCCCGACGAGCCTGCAGCATCGTTTGCATCCTCGTTCACGTTGTGACTGCGAAAAACATGTTCAGGGAGTTTTCGCGTTTCGTTTCACCCTGCAGAATCACATCACCGGTGCCAGAAGGCGAAGTTGAAGAATGACGGAAGAACAGAACGTGATTCAGATTGTTCGCGAGGAAGGCTTATCTCGACGTAAATTAGCTTGTTATTTAGACGGCGTAGCTTCGTCTAAGAACAACAAGGAATCCCATTTTCGATGTATTTTCCTTCTTCTAGCCGTTCTCTTTAGAACGCGATGTTCTCCTTTTCCTCGTATTCTCTGTTCCTTCGGTACTTCGCTCGATCTCAGGAACTGAGAAAAAATCACCAAACTATGAACGTGCTAACCTAACCTAACCTCCTATCGGATGCCGACATGACGCGGCGCGACATGTGTCAATGATTGACAGCAAAGGCTCGTCTGACGCCAGGCGAGGTAATCGGAAATATTGGGATTACGTTATTATAGTCATGTTGGTAATAATGCTCGCTGCATTTACCGCTCTGGTGATATATTGCAATTGTTGCAAAAATAAAATTATTTACATGGACTGTCCATGTACAAAATATAATAATAAATATAGGAAAGAAAAAACAGGAAACAAATTGGACAAAAATAATCACTGCATGTGTCATTATCCGTTAGAGAATTGTTTGAGAATTGTTAGAGAATTGTTGTATCATCTGTTGATACAATTATTTGCTAAAAATACAGTTTAAACATCTAATTCTCGAGATATATTTAGTTTTTATTATAAAAAAAACTCATTTCAAGTTAATGAAAATATATTCATGCGTAAAAGATTTGATGTACCCTAAATATATTGTATATAGATAAATGTATGTATAGATATATTGTTGTGAAAATAATAAAGACTTTTATGAAAATAATAAAGTTTCTTTCGAATTGTGTACTTAATTTTTTGTTTATTTTTTGCATGTTGTTATACATTTCGACATAAGGGGCAATTAATTAGTATTTATTATATCATACTATAAATTAATTAAGGGACAAATATTATTTATTATATCATACAGAATTTATAAATTATGATTTAAGGAAGAATTAAAATTGTGTATATATATTAAAATAGCATCAAACAAACGGAAAAAGATAAAAATTATGTAGTAACCTCATCATTAACTTTACATTAACATTCCCCAGCTCTCATTATATTAAGTGCTACAAATTATTGAGGCAAAAAGACTCGTTATTTCCTTATTTTGCTCATTACCTCTATTTTCATTTTACGACACGTTTTATCACTTTGTTACATATAAATAATTACGGTACAATATATATCTATTATTACGTCGTATAATAGATATATATCCCATTGTACATGTATGTACCGCGCCACATGGTGTGGTTCTAACAAATATTTGAGAAATAAATGTTTCCTCTCCCGCAAGAACGCATCGCGTGTCAAAGAAACAGAGAAAGATAAAGGAAAAGTGAGAGAAAGAGAGAAGGGGGAAGAGAGAGAGAGAGAGAGAGAGAGAGAGAGAGAGAAAGGCTTGGATCAACAGAGGAAATGCGCGCGTAGTGACTAAGAAATGCACAAACAGCTGATGCAGCACTCATTGTCAATAGAAAAGGAAATGCAGAATCAGACAAGGAAATCATCGTCAGTGCTACGGACAATGGAAAAGTAAAATGCAACCAAGTGAAAAAACTCACGATGAGTAATGGAAAAGAAACTGACATAACAGAAAAGAAAAAACTAGAAAAATGAAATATTTTTGTATCTATCTGGTGAAAATTTTTTTCAGAATTTTTCAGAATTTCTATATATTTTTATAACTTTCTCACATTTTTTATACGAATTGAAACATTTATCAGAAAATGTACATCTTTTTTATAGAATTTTTTATATATGTTAATTATGAAATAATTATAATAATAATCGTAAGATTTCTAAGATTTTTTGTAAGTATAATTTCTGATAAAATGTAAAAAATTTAAAAATATTTTCCAAAAATTATGGGATGAGAAATTTCAAAATAAATTTCAGAATTCATTTGTACGAAAAATTCTGAGAGAAGATGTAAACTTTCCGAATTTTTCTGAGTATTTCTGAAAAACATTCCAATTTGTAAATTATGAGAAAAATTTTTATTAGGATAATCCTTACAGAAATTTAGTACTGGAAGGAACTGATTAAATACTTATTTTACTATTGTGCAGTGCTTTTAATTATATTCAAAATAAGTAATTAAATGATATTTCGTATATTTAATAATCATCATTTCTCTTCACATCTCTAATAAATCCAATTTAATACCAAAAAATTATTTATTTTAAGTTTTAAAAGCTCTGAACGATAACTGCACTTTTAATACTCAGAATAAGTAATTTTCGATATTAAAATGATAATATTAAATAAGATTTCTGTAAGAGATGAAGAGATGATTAGGAAATAAACGAAATCTTTATTGGAATAAGAACATTTATCGGAGAGAAAGAAAAAAAAAGGTATAGCAAATTCGATTGGACACGTTTAGTGCGACTAATGTACATTAAAGCCATCAACTCAAATTAACGTAAAGATGTGTCAATTTAATACAAATATAAAAGCGGGTTAAACCGTGAAATCCTCAACATATTTTATTGTGTTGTCAAGTGAAGTATGTATAATTCAAATTTCAATATTTTATAATATATGCAATTTCAAAATATATGCATTTCATTTTTACACTCAGATTAAATTGATATATAATGAACTGGCTTTATGCTCCTTTATCGAATTTAATTTGACTTTGTTCGGATAGCCAATAAATTGTTTCTAATTGATTTTAATATATATCAATATGCACTAGTGTGCCCAATCGAATTCGTTAACAGAAAGAAAAGTCAAGGAACTGAAGGTATGCAGTAGAAAAAATAAGTGCATGTCCCGACGAGGGAACCACTGCTGCATTGCATCCAGTGAAAAAGGAGGCTGTGGTCAGCCGGAGGAATCGACACCGCGCAGTGGAGAAGGATTACGTTGGCCGGACGACGGACGGCCTGCTGACGCGACGCAACGGCGACATCGAGATAATAACGGAGGTCCACGTCATCCGCGTTCGCCAAGAGAATGAGCGAGGGAAACGAATATAACGTCGTCGTCGCAATGCAGCACGCTTTTCATTCCCGCGTGTGTGCGTGGGTGCATCAATACGCTTTCAAATTGGCGTGCAATCGTACACGCGGCTCTTCCGCCAGCCATTAATCGATGCATACAGATTACATCAAAGAGAGAAAGAAAGTGACGTATTAAATCGTGATGTATATTTTGTTGAATTTATACACTGAAATAAATGTTCTAATAAGATATTAAATGGAATTTTGATTCTCTCATCTCTTTTGCACGACATAATTTTAAGCTCAATTAAGTTACTACACTGAGAAAAATGTTCTAATTAAACTAACAAAAGGACTCTTTCCAGGTAGCAAGCTGATGTTATTCGGATTGGTAATAACAAAAAATGATAACAAAAAATTCTATTTGGTTTCACGAAAATGTTATTCTTGTTAAGGGGGTATTCTAGTGTGATTACTCATTTTTAATTTTCATGAATTTTGGGAATTAAATTCATAAAAATGGTTAAACCTAATACTAAAAAAATATTTACTTTTTGCGACCTGAAAAAAATAGTAATTTCAAAGATATTAAAAAGTTGGAGGATCGAACGATAGCTTATGTACATCATATATCTGCAAAGCGGAAGCCGATCAATCCGGTAATTTGCGAGAAAAATGTGTGTTCGATTTGAAAAATGTCGTTTAAAAAAAACGCGATAAATGTTTCTCATGCATTTACAAAGTGAATAATGAGTAATTTCAGTATCCCCTTAACTACACATTTTCAAAACCTTAAACTACAAAAATATAAAAAAAAATGTTTCGATTTTTTTAACTCAAAACACACTAGAATACCTCCTTAAATTCTTTTGTTGCTTTAATTAGTACTTTTTTCTTGGTGTAGTGACTTAATTGAGCTTGAAATTATCGCACAAATGAGAAAGTGAAAAAATTCTGTTTAACCTCTCGTGTTGAAGAAATTTAATTTAATTTTTTCGTTAGATACTACGAATAAATTACGTTAAGGTTTTATAGTTGTGTAATTTTAAATCTCAGATTTACGCACCGTGTGATTTACGTACAGATTTACGTACTGTGCGTAGGATATTGTTACGAACGAAGTTTTATCTTAAATTTTGAGATTAGAAAACAGATATTTTGTACATTTATACCAATATTTCTATCAAAGAAAAACAAACTTTATTTTCATCCTTTAGTTAAATAAATTCTCTTAGTCAAGTAATTTTGATTAAGGGCCAGTTGTTTCATCTTTCGGTAAATTTTATGCGTGTAAAATTAAAAAAAGTGAAAAAACTCTATAAAAGAATTTATTTTACGTCAAACTGTATATATTTTCCATTACGAAAATATAAAATTTACATAATTATATTATACGTTAATAAGGAGAAATTTTTTCTTGCATTTTTCTTCACTTTCGGATGAAGTCAACGCGGGCCCTGCAAAATTCCGTCTGCGTGATTCCCGTTCCACGTCCTCCTAACGTCGTCCCTGGTTCTCCAATCGTCGTCGTAAGCGCGAAACCGTCACGAAAATGAATTCGACGCGTCGGACGTATTTAATACACGCCGCTCTTCTATATGTGTCCAGAAAAACAATTTTTTGCCGATGTTCTCTCATCGACAAAGGTCTCCGCTACGCGCGTATGTATATATGTACGTACACATGCCGTATCGTACATCATCGGTAGCGAGCGCGATACCGATGATGTCGGGGCGGTGAGGAGCATTCCTCAGGAGTGAGGATAAGCGCACGAGGATAAAAACGAAATGGATCGGTGGCACGCGCTGTGATTGGTCGCCGCCCCGGTGGTCGTCACTTACCCCGAAAATCGGCCCGAATTCCGGGAAACGGTACCGAGGCCTTTGACGCCCCGCGTCCCCCTCCGGGGTAACTCCCCTTTTACTTGTTACCACCGCCATATTTTGTTTACACCGCGCACACCGCGCCGCACACCGTCGGTCGATCGCCCGATCGCTTGCTCGCGCGGATTACAACGACAGGTTACAGCGCTGCCGCCGATCGAGTTGGACGGCAGCAGCGGCGAGGACGAGGACCAGGCCCGGGACGAAGAGACAGAGATTCATCGGCGGGACCAGGACCAGGCCCCGCGACACCACACCACCGTCTCGATAATTCTGATAGATCCGACACAGTGCCATCGTCGTCGTGCAGGTCAGTTCGCGTCTTCGGGCGACAGTGATGTGAAGTGTTATATCAGACACATATCCCTCAATTTATATCCTCTCCCGTATCTAGGTTCTGCATCCTCCAGGATGTACCCGGATACCTGCGTCTTCGGCTACCTTCAGCAACGTGCACACCACTATCTGTTTCCGTTTCGGAGTAATTTGTGTCTGCCTCTCTAGGTGCTCGTTTTAAGATATACTCTTCGGTATTTCAAATCGACAGTTCCGCGCGACGAGGTGATGTTATTCCGAAGAGTCGCCAGCACTCCTCAAACAGTTTACACAGTTTGACCTAACCGGATAGTTTATATTTGATGATACACGTGTCGCTGAGATATGTCCGCAAAATTAACACGGGAATAAAGTATTTTGATTACGAAAAACGAAATGCCTTCTACATCACTACCTCCCACATCTGCATGCACATTTAATCGAGGGCATTAGCTTTGACAAATAAAAAAGAATCCGGTATCCTCTCAACTTCTTGAAGCACGAGACTCCGGGAAGAAGACCATAAATCGAAAACAACGATTAAACAATATCCGTTTTAATAACTTGTCGAATTTTCAAACTTAAAGATTCTGTCGATGCCTTTTTTGCTTCCTCAATTTCAAAATTTGAGAAAAATAGAGTATAATTTGTCGCGATAATAAATTATTGTTTAATTATTAGTCATGTTTGCGCATGCAATTAATAGTTTAATTGGAAACAATAGTTTGTCTAATGGTCGTCGAACTCGTCGAGCTGACTCTCTGTAGAGTATAAAATTACGTCTACGTGACTCCTCGTGATTGGTATTGCCTACGTGATGTTTATCTTTTTTTCACGTAGACTATGAACCATGCAGAAGCAAACAAGTCTGTTTCTTGTCCGGAATTATGAAGGAATTTCGGCGAATTTGCTGCATGCGGAAGAAAATGTTGAATATTTTATAAACAAATATGAGCTTTTAAATGATAATTCAAAATTTGATTCTTGTTCTCCGAATCGAGCTTTTTACTCGGCAGGTAAGAATTGTTGTATCCGACATAAGAGGCATAAATTATGCGCTGAAAAGGCGGTTCACGTGCGTGATCTTGATTATCGGTAATTCACGTGATTGAAACCATCGTGGCGTGCACGTGCTACATGGTGGATGACACCCACCGGTTTGCTGATCCCGCCACGTGATTGAATATTTTCGCGATCCATCGCAAATAACAAAGATCGCCTCCAAAATGAGAATCACATGGGAGTGGACTCAAACACGTGCTAGTATTAAATATACATATATTTAAACGTAGCCAGAACGAGAATTCGAAAATCTTCGTGTCCTTCAAGAGTCATCCTGCGTGATATTAACTCCAGACGGAAAATGCGATAGTTTCATTGGGATGGAATGTGTGTGTGCGTGTGTATGTGTATGTATTGTGTGTATTTGTTCTCTACTTTTCATCCCCAACAAAGATGTTATCTAATAATATCGTCTCGTTATCGATCGAATGTTCGATTCTTTCAGAGGTATCGCATACAAGTAAAGCTAATTTCTGTTTTTTTTTTTTTTTCTATTTCCTGTCGGTAGCGTCGCAACGTGGTGAGGCAGGCGGAGGTCGTGGCGGATACGTCGCTCGTCGAACGGCAGGATGAGGCCCGACGAGATGGTGGTGAACAACGGCGAACCACGGCGGGCGGCGGAAACGATGTCGGAGACATCGGAGGGCACTGCGACCACCAGCGTGTCCGGCAAATCCGGCTTCGAGAGTCGCGAGGAGCTGCGTGACCTCGCAGCCCTGTTGGGTATCAACGACCCCGAGGATCTGCATCAGGAACGCTTCCGTGTGGACCGTCGCAAGCTGGAGCAAATGCTTCTCGGTAAGTGAGCATGAGAGATCGATCCGCAATTGAACTTGCCATTAACGAAATCGACAAATGCATTGATACTGTATATAGTAACAACTGTATATAGTAACGCATCAAGATATTCGAGTATTTAAATAATTTTCAGCAGTAAATTTAATAAGGGAGATGAATTAAGAAACAAAAAGAAAATATATAAAGGAAAGAAATTCTAGTAGTACATCATTTCTATTTATAATTCTATATTAGAAAAAGAGAGAGGGGGAAGAGAGGAGAGGGGAGGAGAGACGTTTTCGTATCGTATATTATATTACCATATCAATTTTATTATCATTATTCAATAATAAAATATTTTTTCAGATGTAATACTTAAGTAACGATAAATTTTCAAAAAAGTTTTGTTAGCAATTTTTGTTATCATTAATAACGCCTCTATGGATCGAATCGTAATTAACAATACAACAAGATGTCGATCATTAAATTATAAACGTAAAACTGATTTCTTAATTAGATTATATTTATTTAAAAACATTTATTTGTTCTGTTTTCATAAACTATGCAGTAAAAATATTAGTCAAGTTTTAGTCTCAAATTATTGAAATGATAAATCGATTTCATTTATGAAATAGTATATAACTATTATATTAATAGAAAGCAAATTGAATAAAGTCACAAAGAATTTAGCTGATTTAAATGGCAAGTGTATCAAGGACCAATCCAATCTGTCGTGACGTGACAAAGTCTCCCATGACTCGCGTACTTTCTCCCCGACTACCAATATCAGAGTAGGTGATTATCAAAGAGAGTCAAGATATTAACGGTCAGGGACTAACGGTCGAATACAACAACTCGTTTCTAAATTACCAACTATTTAAAACGATGTAAAATTATTTCATGAGCAATGAAATTTTATCTTTCGGACAAGTTTATGAATTTGGCGGATGTATTTAGTTATTTTAATTTAGCGTTAAATATCACGAATTTTGTTCTGACCTCCAGTTTTCTGATATGAAAATCACTGCTATTTCGCGCCATCATCGCCATCGTATTCAGCATTAAATCACGCGTCAAGAATGACAATAACTTCTCGCTGTTATGTATTTCGCGTTTAATCCCCTCCCATTCTCTCTCTCTCTCTCTCTCTCTCTCTTTCTCTCTGCCTCTCAATATAGATACACTAAGCACTCCGGTGTCCTTTATCGCTTTCATTACTTCTGGAGTGTCTATAACTCGAGGAGCGAAACAAGTCACCGCAATGTCTACTTTCGCTTTCCCGTAGAACGTAGACTTGATTCCTTTTCGTTGTCTTTCCGCGACGGCGAAAGCATTCGCGGTTTGCGAAAAATTTTCTGATCAAATGAGCCGAACAATAATAAATTCTCACCGTTTTTTTGAAAATGAAGAAATATTAATGCGATTGGTTTTTCATAAAGAAAAAAGATCAAGTTTAAGATTGAAAATGCATTATTGCTAGTACAGCTAGTAGTATTCTAATGAATACAAAAAATAAAAAAATACGGAAAATTACAGTATTTTTTGAATATCTTTTGCGTTATTTGAGAACTTTAAACCGTCACTTATTTTTAACGTAATCGTTAATTTTTTTAGCTCGAATGTCAAGTCTACTAACATGATTACATTGATCGAGGAAATGTAGTAGCAGTTTCTTGCTCGTTTTGCTGTTGCTATTTGCATTCGCGAATGGTATACTTGGAACTAGAATTTAAATAGACAGCTTGTTTGTAAACGATATTATATAGCAGCTGTCAAGCCACACTGTTTTTCGCGTCTTGTAACATCGTTCAACCGATCACGATGTAAAAGCGTATAAATCTATTTTGCTTAGGGAATATACGTATTTATATTATTTTATACTCATATGCGAAACGGAAGTACGTAATTATGTAGATTAATTTAACTTATCGTAAAATCGAAAGAATTACATCATACACACATTATACAAGATGTCTGGTAAGTTTTGACAAAGCATTCGTGTAGATAGAATGGACTAAACTGAATCGAAAAGTTTTCTACCATTTTGCAATTTTCGTAATAGTTAACAAGATATTAATAAAAATTGTCAAATATTGATTTTTAATAATTTTTTTCTCAAGTACTATCAATTTTACAAAAACATTGCTAGAGACAAAAATTGTTTATTTTCTTTTCATAGAACGCTGAGAATTTTTTCAGAATTTTTTATCAACTTTTTGGTACTTACATTTTCTTATTGACAACTATTTTTACTAACATGAGAAAATATGGTATTAAAAAATTCTGAAAAAATTCTCAGAACTTTATGAGAAGAAACTAATTTTTATCTCTTGCTGTTTTTCTGTAAAGTTGATAGTATTTGAGTAAAAAATTATTGAAAACCAATATTCAGCGATTTTTAGTAATTAATATTTTGTTAACTATTACGAAAATTGCAAAATGGTAGAGGACTTTTCAACTCAGTTTAGTCCGCTCTATCTACACATAAACGCTTTATCAAAACTTACCGGATACCTTGTATATGAAAATATAATGAAATTAAGATAAATAAAGATAAATAAAAGGCAGGAAGAGAGATAATTGCCGTGCTTAGAAAACCTTTCAATGTTTTAATTTTATCTTTGCATTTGCAGGTGATGTCAAACCAGCTGATACTTTCTTCCACAATGTGAGTTTAAAAAAAATTCTTTTTATGCTATTAATTTAAATTTAATTATAAATTATAAATACCGTAAATTGCACTGCGAAAAAACCAAGTGAGATATTTTTAAGATTAATTATTTTATTTCATATCTTTTAAAATTAATTATATAAATTTTCGATCCTTTTTTAACCTTTAATTTAAATAACAATTTTTTTATGTCGCATAATTTTTTTAATATCAGGAAACAAACGAAAATGAAGATTGCTTCAACAAAAAAGATTTATTAGGAATAATATATAATTAATAAAAATAGAATAATTAAATAATTTCAATTATTATATAATGCCAATTAATATTATATATGATGTACATTCAACAATATCCTTAATATATTGAAATATCATCGAGGAATATTAATATCTCGTTTGTGTTTGTTTGTTTATAAATCGCAGTATGAAAAGTGAAGTCTCATCGTGAAGATTTTATTGATCGATTAGTGAAAACTTTCTATCTAACGATTGCTGACAAGCGACACGTAAGATAGATCGTGATATTTCATGATGCAACTCCTTTCTCTCGACCACAAAAGATTTTTCTTTGTGCAAGATCAGTAAAAGTTCCTTGCCATTTGTGCTGACTTATTTGAATCTCGTTAAAATTCGATAAAACAATATTGTAAAAAGAATTAGTTTTATAAAGATTTATTTTAATAATTAATTTTATTTAATTTATAAATACCTAATTGGGCATAGAATGCGATTTCTTAAAATTTCTTCACATTTTTGTATAATTATAAATATTTACAGATTAAGTAAATTTAATTGTTAAAATAAATCTTTATCAAACTGATTCTTTTATAACGTTTTATCGAATTTAGTAAAACGGTGTTTAGAAAATTATTCCATACAATTAATTATTTATATTAGTTAACTCGCTATAAATTACTGTACTATAAATTACGTAATAAGCAAATGCTTTAAAAACGAAAATATTATTTTCTAGTATTATATAAAAGCGTAAGAAAATACTACATATATAGTATATTGTTTGTCTGCGCGCGCGAGCGCATGTGTATATGTATATGTATATGTGTATTATCCGAGTATATAATACAAAGGAAAATATTTCCTGTTTTTGAGGGAAACCTTTGAAAAGACAAAAAATCGATTTTATATTGTTATCGATACACATATATACACTTGCATAGAATTTCTGTAGCTTTCACTTTGTAAGAAGGAACAAACATACAATTATGACAAGCGAGCTTCTTCATTTAATTATCATAATAATCATTTTTGACACAAAGTCAGATTTTATGCCGGCTACCAGACAACAAAATTAAATTTCTCCTTTTTTTCATGCTATGTTTACACGAAAGGACAACTAATTTCTCTGGTAAAATAAGGAAGATATAAAATATAAATGTATATACAGATGTATATATACAGATATATAAGATAATACGAGTCGCAAGTATGCAAATGTGTATAGTATACTTTATTGCAAGTGCAATATCTATAATATAAATTATAAAATTTATAAGATAAATTCATAGATTTGTTTTCGTGATATGTCGCAGGGAAATAAACAAAAGTCTGATTAACTTGGCCGATTTCGGTGATCGCGTTTAGAAGATTGCCGACGTAGACGAGTCGTTTCCTTGTCGAGGTAACGCCGTACTGACCTTGTGATTATATGAAAGCGAAAGAGTCTATTTTTAAATATTTTCGTCTCCTGCACCGCAACCTCTTCCCTCTCCACGTGATAACTCGCGTTACGTCGAGTGAACTGCGACTGTTCGCGCAATATGATTTCTTCACTGATAACGCCGACGATATGTGAGCTTCTTCCTTGTCTTCCGAGATTTCGCCAACTCAATCGTTGGATGCAATTTTATACAGGATTTTTCATAATCAAAACTTTATTTAATTTTATATGATTTTTTTTATCCGTTTGATCTCTTCAATTTATCTATTTTTTTTCACGTAATTTTATTAGGCGAGGATTTTATATGAATATAATATAAGTAATAAAAAATATGAAAAATATCTTGTAAAATATGTATAAAAAATCATTAAGTAATACATTGTTAAGAGAAAAACTTTACAGATGAAATTAGTTTCTATTAAATCAAAATCGATGGGGAGACTGAATCTCTTGATATTTCAAATTAAAATACGATAACCATCGAAATCAATAGCTGCTTATACGCGTGTTTGTTTGTGAAAGAATCAGTAGCAAACGATTTCTCGAATGACGACGACGACGACACACAAAAAAATCTGGATTACAGCGCGGAGAAATCCAAACTAGCGCGTAAAGAAACTCGTTCTTTCCTTCGTCTTCCTCCTCGTCATGATAACGTAACTCGAAATTACAATCGTAGAGCTAAATGAGCTCGCAGCAGGAAGCTTACAATTCGGACGTAACACTGCATACTTTCTCCGTCTTCTCTCTCCGTCTCATTTGCTCGCCCGGCAACCTGAGAGAGAAAACCGATCGACTAGTTTACCATCGTGAGGATCGCGATTCTCGCAGCGATGAGAGGATAATTGAGGAAACGCATAATCGGATAATACTATGATCGGGAAACATCGACGATCACGTGCTTGTCTCTCATTAAATTCGGTTTAAATTGAAATCAAATTTGAGAGAAGAGAATTCTTATGCAATAATCTAATTGCAATTATGTAAATATCTAACATAACTTTGACGACTGCAAGATTAATTGATATTAGTACTATACTTTATAATTTTCTAAAAAACTAAATTTTTATTTTTCTGTATCTCACAACGTACAAATTTGACTTTATCAATGATTCAATAATTCGTAAACAATTCTGCAGAAATATGCTTTTTTTTGCGTTAATTTCTCCGGAAACTTATTTTAATGATTAAGCAGAAAGTTGGAAAAATTTCGCCTATCGGAGAAATCAGAACAGATGAATGGGAGATGAGTGTACATACATGTGTATGTGAATTAAAAAGATGAATTAAAACGTCGCGAGAAGAACGCGCCGATAAACGGTACGTGGAGCCTTCAAGAGCCGTTCACCAAGCAAGTTCGAAGGCAACATGCTTATCCTTATCGCCTTTGCACGACGTTGTGTAAATGAGGAGGGGAGCTCTGGAAACACACCGGCCGATTATTTATAGAGTGGCTTTAACGGCATTCTCCTCGCTGTTCCTTCATCATGCTTTTAAGCAATTCCATGACGCGATATACGTGTACCCGGTATTATCGCCAATGTACATGAAAAATTTCGAATTTATGCTAACATGACACACTTCACATTAAGAGAGAGAGAGAGAGAGAGAGAGAGAGAGAGAGAGAGAGAGAGAGAGAAACCAATGTATTTATTAAATTTGATGAATACATCTCTCTCTTCCCCTTCCCTTCTCTTCTCTCTTTCCCGCTCTCTTTCTTTTTGTCTTTTCCTCTTGATGACGATATATCGCCACATTAATTATAGCGCCACGGTGTAATCCTTGACCGCTGTTGACTCTCCGATGCCGATAACAACGAATGAGATATCGTATTGCTAGTCGGCGCTTCATTAATTAATATCCACGTGTGTACTGCCTCTTCAGTGATGCATATTGATTTTGCAGATAGCTCGGAACTTTTAAATTAGCATGAATAATGTAGTTGCTGAGATAGGATTTCATCACTTCTTTCGTTAATTCTCCGATATGACTATTTTTAATTCAAATCTTCTATCTCAAATATGGGATACTTGAAAAGAATTAAAAATCTTCATTATCTTATGAAATATTCTGGTTGTCTTACTGAATTAAATTACGATAATCAGTCAACGGTTATCTTTTGGCATATGGTATGTATTAATTAATACGTTATAAATTTATATTTTGAGATGTCAGTTTTGCTCGACAATAATAAAATATAAATTTATATACACGTCTCAAATTGCACATTTAAATACTTTACATTAATTTGCTATAATTTCTTATAACGATTTCGTTTTAACCCGATTAAAACCCGATTAATTGCAAAATGGAGCTTCTTTTACGAACGTTTTAATTTTCGCGATCACGTTTTTCTTCGCGGTTATCTTTTAATCTACCTAAAGAAATATAATATCTTGTATTATGTAAATATTATTCCGTTTCTGGTAGGAGACGCAGCTGTGTTACGTTTTAGAAATATGACGTATTAATTCTTCAAGAAGTTTGCAAATGCTTCTTCGATATCGTTCGCTCATAATTAAAAATATTTATGACGCCTTCGTATTACGTTTTCATTACTACCTGGTTATTTTACAAATATTACCTTAATTTCTTTATATTTGCTGGATGGATTTACTTATAGCTTATCATTTCATATAGCTTATTTTTTCAAGTCATAATAATTCAAGCGAGCAATATGTTCTATTTTCACAAAGTTTAATCTAGTTGAATCTAACATATGTGCGTTCGTGTACGTGGACGAACATATACATTGCATAATGCATGATCTTCGCTCGAACAGACCGCGAGACACATCCGCTGCTGATTCGTCAAACTAGATTTGCGATTCGGTGAAGTTACATGTATAATCTGCTGCGACATACGCGATCGAAGTGATTCGGAATGACGATAAAACGTGGAGTGATAACGGGCAACGTGTATGATCAAAGAGAGCTCCCGGTATTTTAATCCTCAGATTAATATTAATCGTAACTGGGCTGCGTACCAAGATTTCAATTAATTACTACTTACATTTCTATTAATTCGGAATTTGTAATTCCCTTTGAATTGTAATTCCATATCTAATTTTGAAAAGGAGATCTTGAATGTAAGTGAAAAAAATTTTAGAATTCTTAAATTTATATTAGCAGTGTATATATATTTAAATGCAATGCACTATCTCATTTTATAATAAGACACTTTATTGCACAAGTAAACATGTATGTACATTAATCTCCAGAATTTTTTTAAGAATAATCGGTGAAAGTTTGTTGTCGAGCTTCTTACACATGCGAGTTTTTTTAATTGTGATATGTGATATCTTTGATAAGTCAGCA